CAGGTCGACTTCTCGCCTGGTCGAGAAGTCGATTATCGACTATGTCGACAGTCGACATTGTCGACTTCAGGAACACGAAGGTTCTATATAAGACTGGCACGTCTGCCATTAGATAGGAGCTTCGTGCTCAACTTAGTTATCAATCTTATCATATTAGTTTGACATCTTTGATACAAGTAACGAGTTCACTTCCAAGTGAACAACCCGATAGTCTTCTTCTTATCATAGCATACCAACCAGCGAACACCCAGCCAAGTTTAGTTAGCCAGTTTGAGTATTCGTTACAAGTAACTACTTATAGTATTAGATTTCGACCTAGAAGATAAAGCCAAGAGTACTTAGGAGATAAGATTTCTACGATTAGATAGACAAAAATTAACCTTAAGAATCTATCTAACAGCCCCTAAAACTTCCCTATTATACTACCTTAAAGCTAGAAAGGTACGAAAAATCGGAAAATAGTTTCCGCTTTATTAACTAGTATAACCTTACGTTCATATACTCTTTGTTTCTCCTTATCTTCCTTAGTAATTGTGACGGTTCTTACCGCCACCATGCCTCAAACCAGCCCCTGGCTGGCACCGGGCGTGCCCCGTGCTTCCCGAGCCCGGCTCGGTTAGCTATGGCTTGGCACACCTCCGGTATATAAGAGCTTCCAGCTCCTGGGCTTCTGTCCTTTCTTTCTCTTCTCTCTTCAGCTTAGAATCCTCGAATAGACAGTTCCACAGTGCCCAACTTACACCAGACGTAGTCGTGCATTCGTGCGCGGTCCATCAGCTGTGCGTGTCGTCACAGTAATCCTCTCGCTTTCTTTAGCTAATATTATATATACTTCGTCCCGGCTTAGTTAGCTATACTATATATATATAGTATAGTCTTTAAAGCTTAGCTAAGAAATAAGGTATCTATTAATCTCTTAAAGGTCTTTTCGTAAACGTTTTTTAGTAATAGCTAAGCCTTTAACTATAGTAAAAAGGGTATTACTATTCTTTATTATCTAGTAACTAGTTTAAGATTTACTTAACTAGGTAAAAATATAAAAAGGATTATTTAACCTCTTATCTTACTCTAATAAGTAGGAAGTCCTAATTATATCCTTTTAGGAACTCTTAGTAAAATATATGTGTATACTAAGACGTGTAACGAATACTCAAACTGGCTAACTAAACTTGGCTGGGTGTTCGCTGGTTGGTATGCTATGATAAGAAGAAGACTATCGGGTTGTTCACTTGGAAGTGAACTCGTTACTTGTATCAAAGATGTCAAACTAATATGATAAGATTGATAACTAAGTTGAGCACGAAGCTCCTATCTAATGGCAGACGTGCCAGTATTATATAGAACCTTCGTTCTCGCGGATCAGTGCTCATCGCCCTGATCGATTCCGATTCCTCAGAGGTCGTCAGTCCGACCACCTCTGATGCCCATCAATCACGTGACAGTAACTAAAGGAAATCCATGGATCG